ATCATAACGTTAAGCGTGCGGACCCTACGGGTTCGAGAACTATATAGACATGACCTGGAACTGTTTCCGGTCAAGAACCAATAGCGGAACCTGGATGCTCATATTGGCTCCTACATATTCTACGAAGATCTTTATCGGTCAAACCGTCATAAGTTGTTCCCTTTGTCATCGGTATGTTACTTGCCCGAGATTCGATCATCGGTATCTCAATACCTAGTTCAATCTCGTTACCGGCAAGTCTCTTTACTCGTTACGTAATGCATCATCCCGCAACTAACTCATTAGCCACATTGCTTGCAAGGCTTATAGTGATGTGCATTACCGAGAGGGCCTAGAGATACCTCTCCGACAATCGGAGTGACAAATCCTAATCTTGAAATATGCCAACTCAACATGTACCTTCGGAGACACCTGTAGAGCTCCTTTATAATCACCGAGTTACGTTGTGACGTTTGGTAGCACACAAAGTGTTCCTCCGGTAAACGGGAGTTGCATAATCTCATAGTCATAGGAACATGTATAAGTCATGAAGAAAGCAATAGCAACATACTAAACGATCAAGTGCTAAGCTAACGGAATGGGTAAAGTCAATCACATCATTCTCCTAATGATGTGATCCCGTTAATCAAATGACAACTCATGTCTATGGCTAGGAAACTTAACCATCTTTGATTCACGAGCTAGTCAAGTAGAGGCATACTAGTGACACTATGTTTGTCTATGTATTCACACATGTATTATGTTTCCGGTTAATACAATTCTAGCATGAATAATAAACATTTATCATGATATAAGGAAATAAATAATAACTTTATTATTGCCTCTAGGGCATATTTCCTTCAGCATCAGTTTCAACAGTGAATGTTTTTGAAAAGTCAGGCACAGCTAATACTTAAGATCTTGTTTGAGTACTACAAAGGCTTCCTCGGTGATACTAGTCCACACAAATGGCACCCCTTTTTTCAGTAATTCAGTGATAGGTTTAGCAATAATTCCATAATGCTTGATGAATTTCCTGTAGTGTCCACTGAGCCCAAGAAAACCCCTAACTTCTTTGACATTAATTGGAGTAGGCCACTTCTGTACAGCTACTATCTTCGTAGGGTCTGTGGACACACCTTGAGCAGAGATCACATGCCCCAAGTAAGCAATTTCCTGTTGAACAAAGGCACACTTGGACATTTTTACTTTACATTCTTTTTCCTTCAGGATTGCTAAAAACCTGAGAGACATGCTCTATATGTTCTTTAAAGGTTTTGTTAAAAACTAGGATGTCATCGATGAAGCACAACACACACTTCTTGAGAAGAGGGGACAAATCAAAGTTCATGGTCCCTTGAAACGCTCCTGGAGCTCTAGTCAGACCAAAGGCAACTACAAGGAATTCAAAGTGGCCATTGTGAGTCTGGAATGCAGTTTTGTACTCTTCCCCTGGAGCTAGCCTGATTTGGTGAAATCCAGCTTTGAGATCCAGTTTGGTAAACCAACAAGCTCCAGCCAGCTCATTCAACAACTCATCTATGACTGGCAAGGGATACTTGCTCTTCAGAGTGATAGCATTAAGATGTTTGAAATCCACTACAAGTCTCCAGTCTCCCTCATCTTAACCTTTAAAACAAGAGAAGAAAATGGGCTTTTATCGGGTCTAATCATTCCCAAATACAAGATCACTTCAATTTGTTTTTCTAATTCATCTTTAAGCTGAGGAGAAAATCGGTATGGTCTTACAGAAACTGGTCTTGCACCTGGGATCAGAGGAATATGGTGATCTTGCATTCTTCGAGGACGAAGGCTAGTGGGGGCCTGAAAAACTGTATGAAACTTGTCCGAAATAGCCTGCATCTCAGGACACATAGTTTGGTCAGCAGCACACTGAATAACTGATAATGTCACAGCTGTCAAAGCAAATTCTGAAGGTAGGAGTCCTTGCAATGTTATTGTACGCCCTTGATACTGGAAGGATAACCACTTCTGAACCTAGTCCACTTGCATAGGGCTATGCTGGAACAACCAATCCAGACCAAGGATTCCATCATAAGTGGATAAGGACAGGAGTCTGAAATCTGAAGAAAACTGACTATCACGGCAATTCCACTTACACTGTTTCAACATTTGGGAACATTGCAAAGAAGTGACACCTGCCACAGTAACTGAAACTACAGTTGTATCCTGTATGGCTGTATATTCAGGAGAAGAGGAGCAAAAGCATTGTCAATGAAGGAATGAGTACTACCAGAGTCCACTAAGAAGATCAAGGAACGGTTCTGCAACAATATTTCCAATTGGAGGGAAGGAGCATTAGGGTCTTTGCCAATTGTAGCCGCTGACAGGCGCATACTATGAATAGACGCTGATTCAGAATCAGATAATTCAGACTGAACACTGTCCATAGCCTGTACATGATCAATTAGTTCCTGCATGAAATGTAATTGGACCGTGGACTTGCACACATGATCTCTAGACCAACGTTCCCCACAAATGAAACAAAGCCCTTTAGATTTGCGATAAGCACGTAGAGCAGACCATTTATCATCAAAAGAAGAAGGTTTCGGAGTTTCAGACTGGCGCTTATCTTCAGTGACACGGGGTTTGGGAGGAAGAGGAAGTGGATACGGTCCAAACCTTGATCCAGGAGAAGTGTTGATAGGTGTCACGCCTTCCCCAAGCTCTTCATGCAGCAAGGCCAGATCATACGCAAAGTCGAGGTCCTTGGGTTTATGGAGAGCTACTGCAACATGAACACCATGTTTAAGACCATCCAGGAAACGAGTGGTGTAATGCAGGTGATTAGGAGCCTCCTCATATGCTGTTAACTGGTCATACAAGCCAGCAAACCGATCAACATAATCAACAACTGTACTGGTTTGCGAGATGCGAAATAACTGACGAAGCAGCGTCTGGTGTTGATTTCTGCCGAATCGACTCTGTAAACTGCAGCAAAATTCAGACTACGTGGAATGGGGAGATCTGCGTTGCGTGGACTCCAACCAACGAGTTGCTACCCGTTCGAACTGAGACGTTGCCAATGAAACCCATCTGTGCTGAGGAGTACACCAAAGTTTGAACTGAACCTCACAACAGGATTGCCACAACCGCGGGTTCGCGCCATCAAAACAAGGTAGATCATCTCGAACACCAAATGAGAACGCATCAACAGTATCTAGAGAACTCGAATCACGCCCAGGAGGAAAACAAGCAGGGAAATTGGAATCACGCACACCTCTGACCGGAGGAGGGACATATGTGTTTGCGCCTTCCCCCGCTGTTCCTGGTCGATGCCGAGGGAGTCGGAAGCAGTACCGTGACCACTCCCAGCCATTCTGGATGACGAGGTCTCGACGCACCCCAGTGGTTCCTTCTGCCACTCGCCGCGGATTTGCTCAAGCTCGAGGGAGAACTCGTCGCGCATGCCATCGACCCGCGCTGACAGCAGGTCGTCAAGCGTGGTTGTGTTCGCCTGAATCAGCTTTTCGACAGCCTGAAGAATGTTCTTGTCGTGCTCCTTGAAGCGTTGATCCAGATCGGCGGTGAAGTCCGCCCGCAGAAGCGCGTACATGTCGCGCCCGTCCTCGGACAGCTTGTCCATCGCCTCCGCTCGCCGCCGATCACGCCACCGTGTCCCGTGGTGATGTCGCGGCAACTCCAGGACCACTGAATCTGATACCAACTGTAAGCTACTCGATAGATCTGGGGAATTTGCTAGGGATTCGAATTGGAATGGGGAATTGTTTGATAGCTTCCGCCCAATCCCCCTCACAGCTACCAGATTACACCGGCCGAAACCGTCAGCCAGGTCCAAGCCAAATTCAAAACAGAGAGCGTCATCCCTATTTAACTAGCGACCGTTAACACGGTTAACGGGCTGTCTTGTAGTCCTTCAGCCATCTTGGTGGATTGGCTTCGCGCCTGGTCCGTCGGGCCGGCCCATCTGCTTGCTTGAATCTTCCCGCGCCCACTTCTCTTGTCGGATCTGCTACAGTGTCTTGATCTGCAACAGTGCCTTGATCGCTCGTCGCCGGCTTGTTCTAATCCATAGGATCGGTGCTGCTTCCAGGGACGCTGACAGCTAGGTTCGTCTGGAGCAATGCTACACTTACGTAGCAATCAAACGTAAAGTAACGTAATGGCTTAGGTGGCATTTTTCAGTTGGAGGAAATTAGAAGAGAGACCCCACCCAGTTGGAATCAGGGGGACGGAGGGATTAGCAGTTAGTCTAATTACGTAACAGTACGTAGGCATTTTACGTAGGTGTAGCATTTTTGGTTCGTCTGTCCCAAGCAAACCGTCAGATGGAATCATTCAAGCAGAACACGCCACCGGGAGAGAACACGACGAGGGAGCCACCGGCCAAACCCAGCAACGGTTAGTGCTACAGCCTGGACCAACATTTCCAATCTTGACACCTTGTACTACTCAACCTCCCACCCTCGACACCTCACACACACCTGCACTGCGTTGCGTTGCGTTGGCTTCCTGGGTCACGCGTCGCGAACCCTCCCTGGGTAACTGGAAAGAAACGCGAGACAACCTCCTCCCGTGAGCTGTCCCAGCGTCCATGTTCCGTGCTTCCCAAGAACAGCTCACGGGATTTGGCTTGCAAGACAACTCACAAGTTGCATCCTGCCTAGCACATATTCCATCCACACTCAGCAAGATAAGACACACCCCATAATGATATGTAAGTTGGCAGGGATGGTAAAAGAGACGCATCAAAGGCACGCGAGCAAGTGGTAAAAAGAATCGTTGGGTTGGGTTACTCTTACTCAACCCTGAGTAGGAGTGAACAGTACAGCACTCAATTAGCTCTTTGAATTATACATAGCAAACGGCGGTGAGCAGATCGGTCAACAACATATGAAAGAATCAACGGCTGCAGCTACCAGAAGCTATACTTGGGTCAAACATCCCTTCCTCGCACACAAGTCAGCATATAAATTCAACCGGACTTTACAAATTGCATCGATGAAAAAGTCAAAAAAAAGGGGTAAAAAAGAATTCCCTCACGACGGCCCGCTGTATCCTGAACTGTAGCCACTGTGGCCACCTTTCTTCATTGTCCCTGTCTCGATTTCTTGAGTTTGTTGGCCCTCACTGCTTGATGCAGATGGTATCTGACCATACTCGCTTGTCGGCGCACTGTATTGGCTGCTCGTGTAGTCATTCGTCGTAAAGGCCATCTTCTTGAACTTCTTCATGTCCTCGTTGTACTGCCCAGAATCATAGTCAGAACTGCTGTATGATCCGAAAAAGCGGCTATGACCAGGCCGGACACCTTCGTTAAGATCCTCCAAAGAGACGTCACCTTCTAAGGCCCGAACAACCTGGCAATCATATCAGGTATGAGCAACCACATAATTCTCACTTGTAGCCACAATACTAAGGGCTGAAAGCAGTATTGTGCTATAAGCAGATTACAGCTCTATTGACATCTAAAATGCCCGAAGTAGATGTCGAATTGATTTTCATAAACGATAAGCATCTATGGGCAGTTTGCAGAGCTTTAAGGCATACTGAAACACAAGTTACCTGACTCATTCGAGGGCGACGACGTGCTGAATGGCGTACACATGCAGCAGCACATGCTATCATTCTGGCAATCTCATTAGGATTGAAATCCTTTCCCAGACGAGCATCCACTAACTCATCATAGTTACCATCCTCAAGTGCTCGCATCAGTAAAGGTCTTGCCTATAGATGGTCAAATACGTTACTCCATCGACAATATAAATTCAACAAAAGAAACGATTCTAACAGAAGGCATACAGATAATGAAGTATATAAATTGACTACAAAGAAATGACACACAGATAATAGCTTTGTCAAAAAAATGTTCAATGATCATATAGTTTCTTAGAACTTATTACATACAATGATCAAAACTAGCAAAGCAATTTGCTTCTACAAGACCATGGTAAGTCAAAAGAACAATGTTTGACTCAAGGTTGTATTCTTAAAGCATTTAAACATAAGTATGCAAATGTACTTACAGCACATAATGGTAAATCTACAAAACGTCATGATCAGTAATGACAATGACAGCACATAATATGAAAGCATTTAAAAAACAAATCATGAAAATGATCATGTAACCAAAATGTCCCTTGCCTGACGTACATAAGAAACTACCAAACTTTCCTGACTTATCTAGTCGAAGTATCATGGGTAACACCAAACTTAAGTAGGCTATTAAAATACTTACCCAATCAACCAAGCTGTCATCCATATATGTTTGGGTCGAATCAACAGGCCGACGCCCAGTTATCAGCTCAAGAAGCATCACTCCAAAGGAAAAGACATCTGATTTCTCAGTTAGCTTTCCAGAAGACGCATATTCTGGTGCTAGATACCTAATACCATGAAAATAGGTCTCAGGAAACTGTAACTGCAACTACAGCATATCAATTTGAATGATGATTCAGTTTATATCTAAAATACTGAAACAATGTAAATGATACAAAAACTAGGGGTTCCCCCGTAAAGAAATTTAAACATATCAACCTAATCTTAACAGAGTGAATGGTGTCCATGTGCTCTGGAAAATTTTAACACTGGAGTTGTACACATATGTAGCATGTCTACTTTGACATATAACACCAGATTTAAATGGCTCGGTAACAATTTAACTTCTACACATACCCAAAAGTGCCCATTACTCTTGTTGACACATGTGTGTTGTTATCAGAGGTGAACTTTGCCAGACCAAAATCCGCAACCTGTAGAGAGGATTACAATTAGCTCTGATTATGCAAAAAAAAAAAGTAAGAATGAAATTGGATAAACTCAAAGTTGTTGTCTACACAGCTACATCAATAAACATCTTAAGATGACATTTCAAATTTCAACAACAAATACACAAAGATAATTGCACCACATGTTTACTCCCAAAGCGTGTAAATCAACTCTAATGAAGATGGTAATGTTAAATTAAATAAATGGTTAAACAAATGTTGTTAACAGACACGATAGGAAGGAAGCAGAAATGGAGAAGTATAACCTACCTTAGCTTCGAATTTAAAATCAAGAAGAATGTTTGATGACTTTATATCACGATGTATGATCTTCGGGTGGCCTGTCAATTATGAAAACAAACATTATTTTAAGGACCTGTTTGTGGTCACACTCCTATCTTCTATGCTAGTTTTGAAACAAAAAAAGGTACACATGGTGGTAAACTCACAATCTTCATGAATGTATGCCAAACCCTTAGCAGCACCAAGGGCAATCCTTAGTCTTATGGGCCACTCCAACGTTGGACGGCCTTTTCCTGTGGAAGGTGAAAGCAGTCTTAACAATCAGCAACAAAACTTAGGGCGTATAACATATCATATAGCGACTAACTTGTACTCCCTCCGTCCCAAAATAAGTTTCTTAACTTTGTACTAACTTTAGTACAAAGTTGTACTAAGCTTGAGACACTTACTTTGGGGCGGAGGGAGTATCATACAAGCCTCAAATCAAAAGTAAAAAATAAAATAAGAAATGAAGGAGATACAAAACTTCATCCATGAACTTCACTATGATAAGGCATATTACTGTCTGTTGCCATTTCAACCAAGTAAAACACAAAGTAACTAGCGAAATGGACAAAGGGCTTTTGATTCTACTTGGTTCTTTCCCGCAAATGCAGAGTTTCTAATGACAATTTTACAAGTTACTCCCTCTGTACAGAAATGTGAGATCTTTTATAGATCACTAATATAGTGATGTAAAAGATCTTATATTTCTTTACAGAGGGAGTGGTAGTTATTATGGTAAAAGGGAACAAGCTAGAAAATTAAATCATATAGTTTCAGTTGTTATGTAGTTTTAACATTGAAGTCGAGACTTTTCTTTGTGAAATGTGAATGGATGTGTTTCTAAAGTTGTTGTTTTATGGGATGTGGGATAGATGTATTTATACACTCAGCTATTATCTAAAGTCTCAAGGATAAACCATGCATACAGAAGGTAGATCAATGAGGCAATAAGGCATACCATGTAAGTGGAATTCCAATGTGTTATTGGTGACAAACTCATATACAAGCAACCTCTTCCCCCCAGAGATGCAGTAACCAACCAGAGACACAAGATGCTTGTGATGAACGCGGCTGATAATCTCAACCTCCGCCTGGAACTCACGCTCTCCCTGGCCACTCCCAAGTTTCAATTGCTTCACAGCAATCTCTTTGCCATTAGGCAGCACTCCTTTGTGAACATATCCGAAACCACCTTGTCCGAGGAGATTAGCATCAGAGAACCCATCAGTTGCCCTCACCAGCTCATCATAAGTGAATGTGCTCTTAGAGTTCGAGAAGCCAAGGGCGGTGCCAGGGGATGGTGGAGGCAGGATCTCACCACCTGAGTAATTAGAAACTGACCCGCCGCTGCTGTTTATCATAGGGGGTGGAGGCGGCGGTGGTGCCTGTGGAGGACGATTGGCATATGCTGGAGGAGGTGATGGGTGCATCTTAACCACATGATCAGGTGGAGGAGGAGGAGCATTATTCTGCCAATTCTGGTATGTTGCTCCATAATGATCCTCTGCAGTAAGACAGAACATTATTAGGATTAGAAAAGGTGTTTCCGTTTTGCAAGTTGGAAGAATTAAGCTCATCATAAGATATCGAGATGCAACATATGCAATCGCTTTGCTCTTCCAAACAAAAGAAATGATGATCAGAATAAATTACGACACCTAACACAGACAACAGGCATGATGCCATCATGCAATCATTTACTTAACAATACCGATAGCCTAGCACATACAGATAATTTGAATGTAACAAAAACACGGATTTTCCTAGATGAGCCGTGACAATTGAGAAGTACCACTAGTAAAATTCAGGTGCGGCACTAGCTAAATTGAAATTTTCCGAGGTGCTTACACGTCAACGACACGGCACATGCAGCTAACACACCTAACCCGTGCCTAAGCATAACAAGTGCGAATTGCAGCCAAATTTGCCAAGAATAGGAGGATTCCAACCGACGGCACCGTGACTGGCTGCTTGCACACGATACCCGCACACCAGATCTAGATCTAGACAGCGACAGCTAGTATTCGGAGGTGCAAACCTTTATACTGCGGAGGAGGAGGCGGCGGGTAACCATAGTGCAGGGGTGGAGGCTGGCGGCGGCGCTTCTTCCGGAGGCAGCAGAGGCACACGAAGGTAGCGAGCAGCAGCAGCACGAAGCCACCCACGGCTACGCCGACGACCACCGACGTGGACACCCCAGAGCCACCGCCACCGCCACCGGAGGAATGAGGCGGCGATTTCGGCGACGGGTTGTTGTGGCCTGGCGTGGACGGCGATCTTCCCCCGCCACCGGGCGAGGGCGGGGACCTCCCTTCTGGCGAGGGCGGAGAGAGCATGTCCGAGGGCGGGGAAGGGGTGGCAGGGGCGCCCGGGGGTGACGGAGATGGTGCCGATGGGGTGGCCGGTGTGGAGGACGGCGCGGGAGGGGAGGCCGCGGGCGCTGCCGGCGGCGGGACGGAGGCCGGGGGCGGGTTGGCGGGGGCCGGCGGCGAGGGGGAGGGGATCGCCGGGGGAGGCGCCGACGGGGTGGCCGGGGGCGGCGCGGTGGCGTTAGCCGGCGGCGCCGGGGGCGTAGTCGGCGCCGGCGCGGCGGTCGGCGACGACATCTGCCGCGCGGAAGGTGCCCGGCTCCGGAGGCGGAGCTGGAGCTAGGGTTACTCCCGCTTTGCTTGGCGCCTAAGAATGGTGGGAGACGCTCCCTTTCCGCCTTTGAGGTGGTGAGATCGGAGAAGAAAAGCGTAGTTAGTAGTGGTAGTAGTGCTGCGCAGTGGAGCGGGGGAGTTAAAAGAAGGAGGAGGGAATTGGAACCTGGAAGGGAAGAGATGGCTCGCTCCGAAAGGCCGCGGTGACAGCGGGGCGTGGTCGGGCCCGCCTTAGGTGTGTGCCTGTGGGGCCACCGGATGCGCGGCGGGAATTGTGTTGCTTAACTGAAATGTGGAGCCGGCCGGTGTGGGTCAGGTTGTCAGTGACCCTGGCGATGCCTGCCGGTGGTTGCCTTCTCTATCTCTATGTATGCCGCGTCGCTTTTGAGTTTGACCTCGCCGGTTAGACGTCTTTTCCCGTAAGCCCTGCGAGACTGGTTTCACGTTACCGCGGCCTATACTACATGCGGACCCCGCACATCAGAGTAATACTAGCTCCGTCCTGGTTTATATGTTTCCTTTGTAGTTTGTGTCAAATTTTGACTAAAGATTTAACTAATTAAATATTAATGAATGTCAAGAAAAATTATCTCATTGGATTCGTATTTGAACATAGTTTTCAAAAATATAATGTTTGATGACATGCGTAAACATTTTGTTAGTTTAATCTATGGTTAAAATTTGGCACGAAATATAATGGGAACCAATAAACCCGGACGGAGGTAGTATATGCAAGCCAAATACGCTGACGCCAGTAGAATGGAGGTACTGGGTTTTTTTCGTTGACTGCAACGTGGTGCCGTCGGGTTGTGAATTATGAAGGGTCGCAATTAGAGAAGACGGTAAGAAGGATCGCCGGTGCGACCGTGCGAGGTGCGAGGTGAGAGCATCTCCAGCCGTTCGGTCTCCCAGGGCGGCGAAAAAAAACCGCCTGAGGGCGAACCGGCGCAAGTTTGACGCTTGGGGCGACTCCGTCCTCAGTCGTCGTCCATCAGGTCGCCGCGAGTTCGACGAAATTACGTACAAACTTGTGCAAACTCGACGATCTGATACGAATTCGGCGAAATTTCATAAAAGAATTGTACAAAAAAGTAGAACATGCAAACTACGCTAGCCACTACGCCGCGTCCACCGTCCATCATCTACATACCGAGAAGTCTGTAGAAGCAGGTGTAGTCGTCGCCGTCGTCGTCGTCGTCGCCGCGCGCCCCGCCGAAGCCACCCCCGTCCCTGCTGCACCCCTGCCCAGGGTCGCCGACGCGCGGCGGGGCACTTGATGGCCCGGCCTCGCCCTCCTCGTCGTTGTCGAGAACGATGACGCCGTCCTCCTCGCGGCCGCGTCGCCGGGCCTGGAGCTCCGCGTACGCCTGGCGCTGGCGGCGCACCTGCTCGCGGACGTATTCCTCCTTCGCCCATTTTAGGGCGGCCTCGTCGTCGGGGGCCATCATGTCGACGTGCTCCAACTTCACGGGGAGCAGGCCCGGCTCGGGCTTCGGTCGGACCAGGCGAAGGGAGCGCGGGGAGGGGTGGGCACCCTCATTCACGACGAGGGCGCCGCTGCGCCCGACGAGGAGCGCGGGGAGGGGTGGCACCCTCGTTCATGACGAGGGCGCTGTTGCGTCCGACGAGGAAGCCGACGTCCTCTGGCTCTGGCTTGACGGGACGGAGAGTCGGCGAGCCAGAGGAGAGCGAGCCAGAGCCCAACAACGAGGACGTCGGCTCCATTCGCCGCGGCGTCCAGGAATTGCCCTGGCGGCAAGAGAAGGACGGCCTCGAGGGGTACTCGAGGCGCGGCACATTGCCGGTCTCGATGTGGTCGAGGACGGCCTCGAGGGTGCAGCCGGGGACGCCCCACCACTCGCGCCGTCCTTTGGCGTTAAGGCGGCCGCGGGGAATGACGCCGTTGACGGAGGCGATCTGCTCCTCCCGGCGGCGCTTGAAGTACATCGTCCACAGTGTTTCGCTAGCGGGCACGCGTACCTCGGCTCGTTCTGCTGTTCCTCCATCAGGGAAGAGCGGGATGCGGGCGATCTTCGCCCACCGTGCCATCCCATCGGGCACCGGGACGCCGGCGGCGCTCAGCCTCCACGCCCCCGGCACGCGCATGTCTTGGGGCGGCGGGTACTCGGCCTCGTAGAGGAGGCGTGCCTCCGGCTCTTGGAGGTGGCGGCGGCCGAAGCTGTTTGCCGTCGCGCCGTCGCCTGGAAACCTCTCGGTCATCTTTTCTCGTTGGCGGGAAGGGGGAGAGGGCTGCTTTTGCGAGGCGAATGCAGGGGAGGTTGTGGCGTTCATCGGCGCGGAGGGGTCGTCTTTTATAGCCCCAGCGGGGCGGCGGGGAGGCTGCATGCCGGGCGATGCGTGGTGGGAGTGTGCGGAACACGCGTTGACAGCGCCTTCACTCGCCGCTCGTGAGGCATCAATGGAGGCTGACCGGCGCGGCAGTCTTGACATTGATTTCCGTAGGAACCGAGGCGATGAGGGCGCCGAAGCAGCGTCTCACTGATTCGGCGGGCCCGCCCCCGTTCGCGCCAAAATCGCTCGCCCCGGCGCCCCCGGGCGCCCTCCAGCGCGCCGGGTTCAGCCTGGATCCGCCGGCGCTAATTTCGGCCCTAACCGGCGAAAAACGGACTCCTGAAGGCGTGATTGGGCCTTTTTTTGGAGCTGACACGAAGAAATTACCTGGGGGGCGTGTTGGGGGCTCGGCTAGAGATGCTCTGAAGTCATACTATATCAAAACGCTCCCAAATGTTTGGGCTATACGGTTTGAATTTCTTTTTCCTTTCAACATACTGCATCAAACGTCGTCCATGGTCTTATCGTTGTCTGAATTTTCACAAATCGAAAGAAGAAGATTTGCGGTTATCAGGACCTCCGCCGTATAGGCATCCGACAATTAGGACAAACATAGAACACCCCCTCCCCCTCTCGTTCCATTTTAACCGATACTCCATTCTCGGTTATGCTAGGTATCATTCCACTTCAAAAAATATTTTTGTTTTATCATCTACCTCGTGGAAGAGTAGAGATTAACCTTGGTATGCTGATACGTCTCAAACTTATCTATATTTTTTGACTGTTTCTTGCTATTATAATATTATTTTTTAAATACTTTTTATAGTAATTTATATTATTTTGATGGACTAAACTAGTGTCTAGAGTCAATTGTTGTTTCCTGCTTTTGGTTTTACAGAAAATACATATTTACGGAGCTCAAAATAACTAGGTATTTTTGTGGAACTTTTTTGGGCAAAGAAGAATCTAGAAAGCACCGAAAGATGCAGGGGGCACCTAGGCCCCCAGACGGCCAGGCGATGCGGCCAGGAGGTGGCCTGCGTGGACCAGCTGTCTGGAGCCCCTAGGCACCGCCTTTCGCCCATTTTTTTATGAATTCTAATATTTCCCAAAACCCATAGTATGTGGTCAGCCCGCCTTAGGTGTGTCCCGGTGGGGCCGTCAGATGCGCGGCGGGAATTGTGTTGTTTAACTGACATGTGGGGCGGGGCGGCGTAGGTCACATTGTCAGTGACCCTAGCTATACCTACCGGTAGTTGCATTCGGGTTTTGCCTTCCCTATGTGTACGTCGCGTCACTTTTGAGTTTCACCTCACTGGTTAGACGTATTTTCCCATAAGCACTACGATACTGATTTCACGTTACCGTGGTGTATACTGGTCCAAGGTAGTGGGCCTTCTACTACATGCGGGAATTGCATGTAGGCTTTATCTCTGCAAGCCAAATACGTTGACGCTAGTGGAACAGACGTACTAGTTTCTTTTCCTTTCGTTGATTGACTGCAATGTGGTGTCGTAGGGTTGTGAATTATGAAGGGTCACGGTTGGAGAAAACGATAAGAACGATCGCCGGTGCCCACTGCGAGGGAAAGTCGTACATCAAAACGTCCCCAAATGTTTGAACCACATCATTTGAACTTTTTTCTTTTAGCGTCGTGCATCAAACATCCATAGTCTTATCGTAGTCCAAATTTTCACAAATCGAACGAAGATTTGCGGTTTTTCGAACCTCCGCCTTGTAGGTATCCGACAATCAGGAGCCACATAACCTCCATTCTCGATTATGTTAGATAGCATTCCATATTAAAAAATTATTTTTGTTTTATCATCTGCCTACTCAGGGACAAGTAGATACTAATCTCAGGGATGTCATCCATAAGCTTAATCCATGCATGGAACAATTTTTAATCATAAATTTCATTCTCTCTCAAGATTGTACAACAAGTTTTTTGAAACTGAGACCGTAGAACAATTCTTCTACGGTAATTTCATTAATAAAAAGAATATTTACAAGCAAAAATTAAATTACACTTTCAACCCACTCCAGTTCTAGGGAATAAACACATGGATTGATTTAGAGGTGTTGTTCTGTCCAAGTAATCAGTTTCTCTGCTTTCCTCTTGTTTGCCCTGAGTTGTGCTGCCCATAGCCCTTCTTTAAGGCAGTGTTTCCAAGTGCTGATGTGGGGGGCTGTTGATCTGAAAATCTTATCATTCCGCACTGACCATATACCCCAGCAACTCATCATCACTATGTCTAAAGCTAGTTCTTCTGGAAAGTGACTGATAGTCATGAGAACTTCATCATAGGTTGAAATACCTCTGTGTCTGTTGGGAGTCAGATAATCCCAGCAAAGAAGAGCGGAAGGGCAGTTCCAGAAGAGGTGGACAAGAGTTTCCTCGGTGCCATTTGAACATAGAGCACATTTATAGTCTTGGGTGAACAAGTTTTTCCTGTGGAGAAGGTTCCTGGTGTTGAGTTTGTCATGCATTAGTAGCCAATAGAAAATCTTGTGTCTTGGTCTGCATGTGGTGCTCCAAAGATCTTTGAAAATGATGTGAGCTGAATTGTCACCCATGAGGAGCTTGTATTTTCCTGTAGGAGAATTGGGGTGAAGACCAAACATAGTGTCATTGATCTTTATTTTCTGTAGCCACTCTGCTGTTGATCATG